CTTGCGCATACACTCGGGCACTACAATTTTGTACCGCACGGAAGGCTAGTCGCCATTGAGGCTGGCCGCCGTGACTAAGATTCGGTCTAGGGGAAATTATTATTATTACTAAGTAATACGGTCTTCTTCTGAAAACTAATATAAAATGACTGCCTGTAATATTCTTGGTGCTACTTAACCTTCTGTTCACTATAAATACGTTACGTACGTACGTGTCTTGTCAAAAAACCGCACCTTACTTGTCATTCTTTAGTGGATGTAGTTGAAAAGGCGTGCCTAATTCATCGCCTCAAGGGGACATACTACGTGCGATGTTTCAGTTATTTAGACTTTTAGAAAAGCCTACCTAACTCATTTCTCCCTGAGTGATATAATGAACATGGCAAACCATATTCGCGATATATAACACATTTAATAAATTCATATTTGAACCGGCGTTTAACCGTTTCGAAATAATCTCATTTTGTCTCATCCTGCGGACCCTCTCTTAGACACCTTAATTGGATGATAATAACGGCATTGGATGATAATAAAATTACTGTGATCAGCCCACTAAATTACATCGCTTTAAAATAAATTAAGATTAAACTTAGAACAAGTTACAAAGTACGGGAGTCGCATTAATTATAAAAGTACGAGTATTGTATTAGCTCATTATTACAACTAAAGCCTGTGAAAGGGATCATTCCTGGTAATAAGAAACAACTACTTAACAAACAGCACTAACGTAGTTGAACACATACAATAAACGAAAAAGAACATTCTCAGCTGTTGAAATTAAACCTACAACCGAAACGAATACCGTGATGGGAATGATTAAATTAACAAATTCGTAATAAACTTAGAAATGAGGATCCGCAGTAGAACCAGAGTGGGCGACATAGCCCAACGGATTAGTAAGCTGGAGTGGAAATGGGCCTGCCATATAGCTCAAAAAACCGACAACAGATAGGGAAGTAAGGTTCTCGAGTGGAAGCCTCGTACCGGGAAGCGAAATGTTCCAAAAAAATTATCCAAATTCTGGAAAAGTAGATGATGTAAGCGCAAGGTCTGGTGAGTACGGTAGATGACGGAGAGCTTCCAACCACAGCACTTATACGTTGAACCGTCTGTTGTGGAGTAGAACCACACGTTGTCGTGCAGAAGCAGCGTGGATGAGCGACTGACTTAAATTGGTTGGAGTCAAGCTTTCCATTATTGTGTTCAGTTCTTCACAGTACACATTTGCAGTAATTTTCTTGTCGATTGGTAAGAAACTGTGATGAATCACACTGGCGCTAGATCACCTAACTGTAACCACTACTTTTGTAGGGGTAAGTTTTCGTTTAAAGCATTGTTTAATGAAACTGAACCAGGACAGGATCCAACCAACTTGCTGAGCGCTTGCGACTGTCAAACAGAATCCATTTTTTGTCGCAGGTAACAAATCGGTCCGAAATTCCTTCGTTTGTGTGTCTATTGAGTAGCGCAAGGCACGTCTCGACGCGTCATTGAGTTCGTGGGACACTTATTTATCAAGCTTTTTTACCTTGCCGCTTTGACGGAAAGGTACCAATATCATTTTGATGCCAATGTCGAAAGCATTTGCTAATTCAGCCGTAGAATGAGTATCATTAGCTTCAACAATCACCTTTAATTCGTCATTATCAGTACCAAAGTTTAAGAACGACCACGAGGTTCATTTTTGAGGTCGAAATTTCCAGAACGGAAGCGGGCAAACCAATAACAGGTGGTGCGTTCGTTCGTAGTGTTCGCTCCGTATACGTTGTTGACGTTGCGCGTCGCTTGTGCCGCGTTGCTGTCACGACTCACACACATTTCATTCCATAAGTATTCGAATTTTTAACGAATACTAAAACTATTTTGATTTGAATTGACAGAACGGCCATTTCACAGGTAAAAAACTTATTCTTTCTTTATATATAGAAGAGAGGGGCAAACGAGCATACGGTTCACCTGATCTTAAGTAACTACCACCGCCCATTAACAACTGCAACATCAGGGTAATTGCAGATGCGTTGCCAGCCCTTTAGAAAGGAGTAAGCTCTTTTCTTGAAGGTCCCTAGGTCGTATCGGCCGGAAAAATCCCCGGTGGAAAAATATTCCACAGGGAGGTCGTACGCGGAAGAAAACTCTCATTGTGAAACGTACAGTGGTAGATTTTATTTCATTTTTAAAGAGGCAAAAAGTGCGAGTATTTTCTCTAAAATTACAGCTGTTATATGTTCAAAATATTTATTTCGAGCATTAGCATTGTCAAATGATATATATTCATTGATTTTATATTGCTTTTAGTTCAGACTCACTATTCTTTAGAATAATTTACCGATAGAATTTGAAAATTATGTTACAGTATAGCGTGGTTAGTGGAAAAAGATATTCACTGCGCAGTTCTCCGGCGACATTGATACGTGTTTACTCAAAATGATTACCCGCTCAGGGACGTGGATACAAGGTCCGTATTCACTATGTACACTTTTCATGGAATTTACTCCAACATACCAATATTCAAAGCCTTGTATGAGTCAGACCGGAGTAGAGCTGAGAATGAAGTATCGTATGTTATCTTGATAAGTTAGAAATATACGCAATATAACATGTATATTTAGATGATTGTATATTTAAAACCATTCAATAGTAACAAACAAAAGATTGAGAATACTGATCTCGATAACAATTTTTAACTTCTCGCTAAGAAAACAGAAAATTTTCAAAAATAGGGAAGTTATTAGTATCACCCCGATTTTCATAAATCGAGTTTTCATTAGATCTCGACGTTTTGAGATCCCAGGAAGCTATTCCGACTAATTTCACGTGGATGTACGTCCAGACGTATGTATATATGTATGTGTGTGTGTGTGTGTGTGTGTAAGTATGTAAACCTTTCATAACTTTTGAACGTCTTGATCGATTGAGATACGGTTTGCGGTGTTCTAAAGATCTCAATGTGGAATAGATTTGGTGATAATGTGAACTGATTTGGACAAATAGATTTTGAGAAATCTCAAAAATAAAAAAATATCATTCATTCAATTAATTTTTTTTTGAATAACTTTTAAACGGCTTTACCGATCGATTTCAAACACTAATCAGCTCTTAACCTCAAAAAATGACGTCGAATGCCGTTTGGAAAATAAAAATCAGTTCATTCGTTCGTGAGATATCGAAAGAAGGAAAAAGAATTTGAAAAAAAAAAACGTTTTTGTAGCATAACTTCGAGATTTCGCAACATAATTTGGTGAAATTTGGAACGCTTCGCATTTGAAATTAGCGGGAAGTTCCAGAGATGACATGCAGGGTCAACCAATTTTTTTTATATATTACCAATGCAATACTGCGACTAAAGATCATGGCATTCTTCATCGCTTACGACATCTAGATCGCCATTAGGAGCGTATATGCGCAAAATAGTAGTTAAAGAACGAATACAAACGCTGTAATTGAAAGACTGTGGAATAATATTAAAAGAAAGTTATTCTATTATTAGTATAAGGTGTTAAAGTTGATTATTATAAATAAACTAATGCCGGAAACTGTAAAATACTGATATTTAAGGAACCCTAATTTTCCAGTAAAGTGCTTCATGATTTTCATAAACTCCACTGTATTAAGAACAAATCATTATACAGTGTTGATTATAGTATTAATAATAATATGTTAGCGTACACTTGAACGATATAACAACATATTATGTTAACCACAACGATAATTCCACATTACATGACGAAAGTGTACTTCAAGGGAAGTTGTATTCAAGCATTGATGATCACAAATCGCCCTCTTATTAAACAAAACTAATTTAAGATGTAGACATAATTTTCAAGCATTAATTATTTACGTTTTAGTAAAACTCATTAAGAAGACGAGACCTTAATTTTCGATCTCAACAAGGCGGATTAGCTAAAGAATTAATAAAATTAGTCTTCCATCATTTAATAACATTAGTCGTTTAATTGAAGCCAAATTATTTTGAATGAATAATGAAATTTAATAGTAAATCCGAATTTTAACGGTCTTTATTCTTACAGCCTTTGATAGATAAAATAAAAAAAATAATTTATAATCCTATATTATAATATAGTAAAATTGAAGCGTTTTCTTTTTTATCAGTCGAAACATTAGATGCAGGTAAAAAACTTTTTCTATGCTTTTGGACTACTCCAGAGCTGTGCACTAACAATTCTGTTTCAAGATTCGTTCTAACTCATTAGTTTTTATTCGTTATGAGATTTGCTCAGAATGCAAAAATGAAACACTGGGTTATGTGTCACTGTTCGTCTATTATATGGAATAGAAAAATGTATACAAATTCTGTTACATATCTCAGAACGCAACCTGCCTCCAATGAATCCAATGAAACGTGCGGCAGACTATTATTATCAATCGTATATCCTAAGCGAGTGGCAGACCTTGAGCAGATATTTCCATCGCCAACTGTTGGGAACGCCGGTTGCTCAAAACTTGTTATTGACGCAGTAAATAACATCCATAGGAATCTAATGCATATTTAGTTTTGCCAAAATGAATTAACCGAAGTTAAAATTTGTAAAAGTAATCGACTAAAATCATTTAAATCCTTAGTTGATTATGTAGTAACGTGTTTAAAACCAATTTGTAATACGTTAATAGTTTTAATTTTTTTATGTACTATTCAGTGACGTTTTTTATGTATATTTAAATCAACAGGATCGCTAGTTTTTGCAGCATAATAATATAACAAGTTTTTTTCCGAGTCAAATAATGTTTAAAATACACTCTCACGTTCAATGCGGGATTTAACGAAACCATGAAATTATATTTTTTTTTTCAATTTTAAAATCAAATATGTTTTCAGCTTCTCTGATGAAGTTTCAAACACGTCAGCGTTACAGGCGAAGGAATTTAAAGTGACTGAACTAGTTTACAACGGATGCATTATGCAAGCGCATGAGTCGTCCAGTGCAAAGCAACGGGGTAGAGGATCGGGAGAGGGTGCATCTGTGCAAGCGCGTCGCGGTCACCTGGCGCTGGCGGTTGCCTTTGAGCAAACGCGCGTGAAACGAGCTCGGGGTGTCGATGGTGTGTTGTCGGGAGAGCGCTGCATGCGGTGCGGTGACGGAACTCTGGCGGAACCATGGCAGGGAGATCTTGCGGCGGCTCTTGTTGTGCTTGGGGGGCGCGGGCCCCGCGGGCGGCGGGGTGGTGCCCATCGGCACGTGCGCCGCGTGCGGCAGAGAGCTCGCCGCGTCGTCCGGAGTGGCGCGCGGCGCTGTGGCCACTGCCGCCTCGCCGCACCGCACCGCGCCGCACCGGCTACCTCTCGCTCGCTCACTACGCAGCCTCCGTATCGAGCCACACTTCCCCAATTCACTCCACGAAGGTTCCCGCGGAGGGCGCGCGTGGTCCGCTCACTACGGAGGGTACCGAGGGGTTTGAAGTGGAGCCGTCGCAAGGCGGCTGCCGACGGCCGCCGGCCGGTGAGTACGGGTCACCAGTTTCAAGGGCGTATTATGTAAACAACACTAATGGGTCGCGTAAGTAACATCCAACTTCACTATAAGTTTTGAATGTATGCAAATATTTGACCGTTAATATTTTATTCGACAAAGTCTTGTTTCAGGTAATATAATAGATATATTTTAATTAAAATTACATTATAAGTGTCAAAAGGTGCCAGCGGAGGTGTACCTAGCGCAAAAGCGTTTTAATCGTTCGGCGTACAAAAGGTGAGTGTGGTATAACATTAATAAAAATTAACGTTCTCTAGGTCAAATCCTTTAATTTGTCGAGATGTTATCGTGTACAATATATCAATATGACTTACAAACTTTTAAATATTATATATTATTTGTAAGGATGATATTGTATCTAATATTAACATAAAAAAAATTATTTTATAAATAAAAAAGCACTTGATTTCTTACCATTTGGTGCAATTGGAAAACAAACTTTCTAAGGAGTACATCGTTAATGAGAAATCTACTTTCATGACATTCTAATAGGTCTATTGAACTTATTCCAAATTTCATTAAGAATTGTTTTATTTAGTGTATAAGAGTACAATTATAATAAAAATCATATGTGAATACCTACCTACCTACACCTACTATAAATGTATACAAACAAGTAACATATATATTGTATTAAAATTATCTTAGAAATATATTCTTTGTGTATTTTGCGTTGAGACTAAATTTTCATTGCCTGGTCGACATACAAGCAAAAGCCTGTATGAAGATTTGTCACCTAAAGCGCTTATTACATTATAAAATTTTTAGAAAATCTAATTGGGAACCTAAATTGGAAGCTAGTGATCACATTACACTAAATTGAATTCTAAATCGTGACGAAGCGCATTCGTAAAGAAGTATCGACGGGTTGCACGTTTGATCGATGGCGCCGTATTTATCAAAACAGCAGAAAATAGGACTTGCCTTAGCCGTGGTGGGAACAATAGATATTAAAAGAAGAGAAAAGAGTACCTACTTGTCATTGAGAAAAAAACTGTCCAATATAAATATAATTATATATTTTTAGATTCTAAGCAGTTTTTTTATAGGATAGGGTGACAAACTAGCACACAGTCCACCTGATGGTAAGTGGTTGCTGTGGCCCATAGACATCTACATCTATCCTCGATTGCGAATCAAAATGCAGATGCGTTGTCATCCCTGAGGACTAAGATGGAATGCCTCGTTTCCAGTAAAAAGGGTCTCCGGTTCATCACACACACCATATGAAATACAGCAGCATTAAGCTACTATTTCACGCTGGTATTCTGTGAGAGCGTGGTCCTTCCCCGGTCGAGCCGACCCATTCGTGCTACAGCTCGTGGTGCAGCCATAATAATAGTTATACAGCTGCAGTGCGGGCTTTCCGCGGAAAAGTAAACAAACTTAGTCTTAACAAAAAGTGTAGCAGGCAGCGGAAAATATAATTAAACTAGCTTTACTAAGAACTAACATGAAAAATATGGTAAAAGCTGAAATAATTTTAAGAAATTTCTAAGTAACAATATAATTTAAGGCTGTAGTAAGATCATGAGTCGGAATCGTTTGCCGATGGGAGCTGTTCTAATCGTCACATATAAATCGTCTTAAAATAATAATTGATACTGATAAATTTACACAACACCAAATGTAAGACGTCAAAACAAAGTCAATTATAATTCCCACCAGTCACTTTTACAATCACAATGCTGTTCTATAAACACTACGTCGTCGGTAAAAATCCAATGGGTTGACGGTTCAGTCAAAATTTTTATTAGAACCTTTCAAGAGATGTGTGCGTAATTATTAATTAAGTATGCATTTAATGTGGCCATTTTAGAATGCAGATCCTCAACATTAGCAACTCAATAGTCAAAACTCAATAGTCAAAACTCAATAGTCAAAACTCAAAAGTTCAAAAGAATCTCCGGTGGAGGTTCGGGTGCCACATACGACGACTCAATAGTAGCCAAATGTAAAATACCTAGTTAATGTGCAAAACCACTTATCTTGCGATTGTTAATAACTTTTGTAAATAAAGCATTGACATTGGCAAACTATTGAGCCAACAAGAAACTTTTTCGGGCTGACGATGAAGAAGAAGAAACAAATTGAAACTTTGCCCTGTCGACAAGAAAGAAAACGAAAATCAACGCCATCGCTAAATTTCTACTTCTCCCAGCCAAAACATTTGTTCTTACAGAGAGCTGATTCACTACTTGTTCATAATATTAAATGATCTTATAGTAATTGTAGGGAACAGCAGAAGGATTCTGAAAAAGGAGTTGGGTAGTAGCATCTCCCTGATAACAAACCATAATATTTAATATATATATGAAGTGATCTCCCTCAGGCTCAAAACTAGAGACTTGCACGAAAGAAGCCTCCCTATAAATACGCGAACTAAAATGTAAAATATGAAGTGCAGAAATGTCAAAATTCGCAAGGAAAGTGACGCCGCGGCTTAATGTCTTATTAAGTTAGAAGTACTCTTCTTAAACGATAGTTTAAACCCGAGAATAAAACTAATTTTTGTAATAGGACGGGACTAGTTATTCAATAATGAATTTACATTTGTTATTTTATAACCATTTCTAAAGTTTTTTTGGGATGAGTTTATTTTGTTTTTCCAATTTACGACCTGCAAGAAAAGATCTAATCTTTTTAAAACGGGGACGGCAACGAACCTGCAATTTCCCCCAAGTTGCAATTGGGCAACGGTAGTCACTTGTCATCAGGTGAGTCGGATGCCTGTTTGTCCCTCCCTCTTATATAAAAAAAAATAATGAGTAATATCCGATGATGTCTATATGTTTGAATAATGTAAGTGTACTATATATTGTACACTCATGATTAATTGAAACATACATATGTTTGAGTATACTATTGATTTTAATGCTAAATTCCCAAAAAAAATGTAATACCCACTCGTACTTCTTTAGTTTTTTCTTTTTTTCCATGTGATCTAAATGTAGAAAATGGATTGATGCTACAGAGATAATTCTTTGACTATATACTAAATTAAAGTATCATAGAGAAAAATATATTTATGAACGCCTCATTGAGCGTTTTAATTGGGTTATTTTCATCCTCAATTGTATCTGTATTCAATGTCCGTGGTTATAAGATAAAACTCCACCAATTGGCTGCAGTTTATTTAATTAAAGAAAATATGTATAGGGATAAACGTACATATAAAAGTTTACATCTCATTTCTCAATAAACATTTATTTAGTTTGATAAGTTTAAATTGTTTTCATTGTTTATAAAAAAAAAATAAAACATTTAGGATTATGTGTAGGCGGGAAACATCTACCAGAATTTTCGATTACCCGAATGCCTCACGACATCATTTAATTCAGTCAATCGAATCTCCATTGTGTGTTTTATCTCGAATGTGCTTGTTGACGACACTTGAGCACGAACAATTAAGATGCGTGTAATTATGAGCAGAAGCCAAACCTGCCCTGATCTTATGACCTAAGCTCCCACTTTATCACGCAATTTGTTTTAAATTCTTAACGATAATGTGATTTTTTTCAAAATTTCTCAATTATACTCTAAATGATTGGGGTAGAATATTTAAACACTTTTTATAATATATTTTCAACAAAAATGCATAAATTGAATGTATTGTCAAATTTAGCGCTAATATAACTTGCTCTATTTAACATCATACACTATATTGTTGAATTACTTATTTTTCTATAGAACTATTCTTACAGATTTCATCTAGCGTAATTTATTATTCTTAACGTTACAAGGAAAGGAGATTTATATATAGAAGGGCTACAAGCACACAGTCTACGCGATGGCGAAGACGAATGCTGCAGTCACCTAAACCTACAAAAAAATGTGGAACGTATACGTCGTAGAGCCATGCTGCAGGTATATTAATAGTATAGTTACAGCACGAATGGGTCAGTTCGATCGGGGAAGGACCACGCTCTCACAGAATACCAGCGTCTAACAGTAGCTTAATGCTGCTGTGTTTCGTATGGTGAGTGTAGAGAACCGGAGACCCTTTTTACTGGAAACGAGGCATTCCATCTTAGTCCTCACGGGTGACAACGCATCTGCATTTTGATTCGTAATCGAGGATAGATGTAGATGTCTATGGGCCACAGCAACCACTTACCATCAGGTGGACTGTGGGCTCGTTTGTAACCCTATCCTAAAAAAAAGCGATGCCGCCGAGGTGAACTAAGATGTTGCTTTGCCAACACATAAAGGGGTCTCCGGTTCTCGTCACTCCCCATACGAAATACAGCAGCATTATGCTGCTATTTTAAGCTGTTAAATAGTGCGAGCACAGTCTTCCTTTGGTCGAACCGACCTTTTCATGCTGCACATAAATTTTCGCTCGCTTCGCTGGAGGACTTAAGCACTATACTCAATGACCTCAATAGTGCCTCCAAACGGATAGGTCTTAAGATGAACATGGACAAAACAAAGATCATGTTTAATGTCCATGTCACCGGTAGTTGTTGGGAGCACTAAGCTCGAAGTTGTTGATGAGTACGTTTACCTGGGACAAATAGTCCGACTAGGTAAGTCCAACTTCGACCGAGAGGTCAATCGACGGATTCAACTCGGCTGGGCAGCGGGCTCGGGAAATTACGAAACATCTTCTCGTCAGGTATACCTCAAAACCTGAAAACTAAATTGTACAACCAGTGCGTGTTGCCAGTGATGACCTACGGAACGGAGACGTAGTCCTTTACTGCCGGCCGTATGAGGACGCTCAAAGTCGCTCAGCGAGCTATGGAGAGGGCTATGTTTGGAGTTTCTCTGCGTGAAAAACTTAGAAATAAGGATATCCGCCGTAGAACCGGAGTGACCGACATAGCCCAACGGATTAGTAAGCCGAAGTGACA